TTGGAATCAATAAATTTGTAGCCATTGTGTCTGATGGTGGAGCAAATGTTAAAAAAGCAAGGGAAATGATTCATGATGATTTTCCATTCATACTGAATATTCGATGTGTTGCTCATTGCTTGAACCTGATCACAAAAGATATTGTGGCACACAAGTTCCCAAAAAAAATAATTAACTATTGCAAAGTTTTAACAAGTTTTTTTAAAACATCTCACCGTCCTGGAGAGTTACTGAATCAACTAATTAAAGAAAAAGGCATCGAAGGTGGTGGTCTAAAAACTTTGGTAAAGACAAGATGGATCACCACATACGAATGTTTAGCATCGATTTTACGTTTAAAACCTTGCTTTGAAGAGGTAGTTAATATTTTATTTTTAAAAAAATTTTTATAAGGAATAGTTAAATTAAATATAATTTAATTAATTATATTTACCTTGTAAAGATAATTTTGAATCATCGTGATATTATCAGTAATAATTCAGTAAAAGTGATACTACAAAGAAGAGGGTTCTATGAAGATATACATGACATAATTATGGTGGTAAAGCCAGTAAAAGAACTCATAATAAAGCTTGAAAGCAGAACTGCGAATCTAGGTGAATGTTATTTTAGTTTGGTCAAACTTGCAGCTTCTGTAAATAGGCTTTCACTTGAACACCATCAAAATTTTCGTAATCACTGTATTAATAATTTAAACAAAAGATTTTTGGAGTTTGATTTTGATGAGTATTTATTGTCCTATTTTTTACATCCAGGTTTCAGAGGTAAATAAATAAAATAAATAAAAATTAAGAAATGATTGATTATTTTTATATTTATCTCTCTTTACCTCTTACTTATCTTTTTGAAAACAGGCACTGGTATTAAATTTGGAGAATTTCATCGTGTTGCTAAAATTGCTGCAAATATTTGGGATCATATTTATTCACAAAAATCACATACAAAAGATATGACTTCGAATCAAAGTTCAAAGAAAAAAATTAAATTGGGAATAAAAGAAAAAATTCCTTCAAAGTTGGAAACTGGTAAAGCTTTAATGAGTCAATTGATAAACTATAAAGGAAATCAGGATCCTTATAACATTCCATATGATCCAAGTCTAATGACTCCTTATAGTTGGTGGTCATGTATTGAAATAAAACCTAATTATATTCAACAATTGGCTAAAAAATTGTTTGCTATTACACCACATGCAGCTTCTTGTGAAAGGATTTGGTCAACTTGTGGATGGCTATATGGGAAAAAAAGGTGCAATTTAAGTACTGAGCGTGTTGAAGCATTAGCCAAAATTCATGGTTATTATGTCTCAAATTGCAAGGAAGAATTGAAATTAGCAGGAGAAAATATTTCTGAAAATGAAATATTGGATACTTTTTTGGCAGCTCAAGATGATAATGAGGATGATGATGAGGATGATGATGATATAGAAGAGTCTTCATTAGAAGAGGAAAATAATGATATAAATGCTAATGAGGGACTTCCAGAGCCTTACATTTTAATTATTCAAAATACAATGGATTTATCTCATTCTAATTTTCAAGATCTAGATGATAATGATGAAAATAGATCTGAGTATTTATCTGATGAAGAAAACGTATTAGCTAATGATGAGTATTATGAAGAGGAGGAAGAATATAATTCAAATGAATTGGCATCATCATTTATGACAGCATTACATAATTCATAATTCCAATTTGTAAAAAAAAATTTTTTTATAATTATTATTACATTATTTTGCTGTACATATTAGAAAGATTTTTTTGATTTTCAGTTGTTTTGGAAATATTTTTTATAATAAAATTATTTTATATAGATTAATTAATATATGTAAAAGTTTTGTTATTTATGAATTTTTTAATCATAGGTTTGACAGTTTAGGAGTTTTGCCCACAGTTTAGGCAATTTTTGAGTTTCGCCACTAGTTTAGGAGCCTAAACTCCCAATGTCTGTGGGCGAAACTATTTCGGATTTTCTAAAATAATTTCGGCCACCATCATTAGTATTATTTATTTTGAAAACATAATGAGCAATTTTTTCACCTTGTTCCTTTTTTCAAAATACTTCCGATAGTATTATAATTCTTGGTAGATCCGATATAAATGAGTTAATCACATTATATCCGATAATACAGTTAAAATTTTTTGATCCCTGAAATCATTGGTAATACCAATGTTCACCTTGTCCAGTTTTGTTGCAGTGTGCACCATGTACAGTGTATATAGTAATAGTAAAACTAAAAAATAAAATCATACTATCTTCTGAACTTAAGACAAATGAAGAAATTAAAGGTATTGGTGCCGTTTGACAGGATAACCAACCATCTACTTTGTAATCAGGAAAATGTCATATATTTGTCCTAATTTAGTAATATGTTGCATTTAGTTAATTAAAATAAATATTATCAGTGTTAGTAAAATAATAATAAAAACAATGCTAACTTAATTGAATTAAGATTGATTATCGAGTTGACAATATTGAATGGGTGGTATTTGGGGATAGATCATTGAGATGGTGTTGTGATGGTGGTTTCTGAGATTCTCGACGTCGGCGATAAGTTTGATTTTGAGGTGGGTTGTTGACATTTTGGAATATATTTTTTTTGAAATATTTGTATTTTTTTTGTATTTCAGAAATTTATCATCATCGCCATCACCACAACCATAATTATTATCAAACTGTTCCAAAGCGCACATCACACACGTCTTGCTCTTCATATTTTCATCATCTTGAACATCCAAAATCAGCTGATACAAAAATGGATTTCTGCATAAAAGAGCATGCTCGAAGAGGTAGTGCAACATAGAAGATATTGTACAGTTTCCAACATACTAGGTTTGCATGACCCGTAGAAATCATCAATGGTATGATCATTAGCGTCAAAGTACGCGATGCTGTTGAGTGTATCAACTCATCATGGCAGGGTTGACACCATTGGATCTATTTGAATCACTATTTTATTGCCCAGATAGACTAGACCAAAATACATCAGCTTCAATGGATCTGGTCTATTGTCAACCCTGCATCATAGAGACAATTTGTCATTTATTATTATTATACGTTCCACTTCGTTAATGTACTAGTATCTTTTTTGAACCCCTGAAGTTTTTTTGTGACATCATCATGTTCACACTTTTTCTGGTTTTGACAATAATAAATTTTTTAAATTTTGTTTTCCCCCTTATTTTCTATAATAATAATAATAATAAACAATATTTAAAAATATTACGAAATGTTTTGAATTCATTAGCTGAGGTTTCTGGGGGAGGAGGCCTATAAAAATTATGTATTTAATATACATATATGGAAAACATTACAGGGTACAAACTTTTTCTTACAATAACAATTATTATTTTTGTATAACCGAATTTTTTATTTATTCAATTGTAAACAAACTCCCAAAAAACAATGACTTCTCATAAAGACTTGATCAATATTCAGCGACAAAGGAAGGACACAACGGAAAATGATGAGAACAGTGATAGTGACGTAGATTCAGATGATTCCATAGAACTGGAATTTAGCTTGGAAGCTTTAAAAGAATCTGCGGAAAGAATATTTGGTAAGTCTTGTATCTTGGCAAAGAAACTTGGCGAAGGAGGCTACCATAAAGTTTTTGTGCTGAAAATGAATGATGGCAAGGAATATGTCGGGCGTGTAGCTTTTCCGGAATGCCGCATTTGAAGCTGGAATGTGAAGTAGCAGTGATGAAATATGTTCGAGAGAACATTTAAAAAATCAAAATGCCTAAAGTGTATCATTATGAGAGTAAAAAAGGAAAACCCTGTTGGGCAAGAATACATAATAATGGAATATATACCTGGTGATACATTGTCTGATGTGTGGGACGAATTTAACAAGAAGATAAATGTAAAGTTATCACACAAATAGTTGAAATAATGTGCGAACTTAAAAAACATAAATTTCCTAAAATTGGTGGCATATTTATCGACCCAGATACTCAAGAGTTTACAGTAGGTGAGGCAATTGAAACAACTTTTTTTAGTGAGTGATGGAAAGAATTAAAACTTTAATCGTGGTCCATTTGATAACACCCATGATTATGTCATAGCAGCAATTAAAAAAGAAATAAAATACATAAAAACCGCTCATACACAAGAAAAACAAGAAAAATGGACTCCAGTATACGAAATATTGGCTGAACTAGTTCCTAATTTTTTTTCTAAAGATGACAAAGAACGATTTGTACCAACTCATGGTGATCTTCATCCAACAAATATTGTGATGGAAGGCACCAAGATTACAGGTATTATTGACTGGGAATGTTCAGGCACCTAACCATTGAATTCTTCTGTGAGTATCCAGTATGTATTACAGGCAATCCATTTGCAAGTACTACAGAAGAAGAAATTAAAGAACATGAGGAACTTCAGAAGTTTTTCCGAGAACAAATGAAAAATTTTGATCCAGAATTTGTAGGCATAATGGATAACATGGATGAATTTAAAAGCAAAATATATAATTTGGTTTTTATAAGGTATTGGGAGGCTGGCAGAATTTTAAAATTTCTTAAAAATCTTAATCTAATTCAGGATTATATGTAATATATAAAGTTTAGCGAATGTAACTTTTCAGGTAAATAGATAAAATGTTTAAAGATACACCGCATATGCATGATTTTATGGGAGTTGCCTAAAATTTTTTATGCCATTATTAATTACTGACATCTGAAAGAATACCATTTAATGATTTTAAATTTCTTTATTTGAATTAAATGTGATATAATATAATTAATATAAAAATTAATATAATAAAATAAATACAAAATATATAAATATAACATATAAATACCATTAAGAAGTAAATACTTCCTTCTATCTACAAATTTTCTTTTTTCTCTCGCAACCTTGACATTCCTCAGTTTTTAAATGGGTTATCTCATGCATTATACAAAAAATTTGATGCTTTTTACAATATGGTGAACAAGAGGGAGTTTCTTTACATTTTGGACAATAGTGTTTTTTTTTTGTGGGGTCTTCATTTGCTTCTTTTATGTCATCAATTTCTTTTTTTTTCTTGCAATTCGGACATTCTAATTCAGTTAAATGGATTAACTCATGTGTTGGACACATAGTTTGATGTTTTTTACAATATGGTGTGCGAGGAGTCGCTTTACACATTGGACAATGATGCTTTGTCATTGTGGTGATTTATTTTGGAAAAAATATCTTATGGTGTTAAAGTGAGTTATGATTAGTTTTATGATAGAGGTGTATTTTTTTTTTTTTAGAAACAATAGCAAGGTTTTCACAGTTCTTTGAAAATGCAGGAATACAAATAAAAAACATTGATCACTTGATCAAAACCTAGACAGACCCCTGGTTAGGCAGAGTTTAAATTAATTGTTATTATTATGTAAGGGGGTACCATTATACGTAACTTTTAAAATTATATGAGAAAAAAAACTTTTTCATAGTTCAAAATATTTATTCAATTAAATTAAAAAAAAAAAACTTTAAAAAAGATAAATTAAAATTTTTTAAAAATTTTCTTTTGATAATGAATTATATATTTTTTTTTTAATGAAAAAACGATCTTTTTCTTTTATTTCTTAAATAATTATAATTACAACAATCAAATATTAAAAAATATATTAATATGGCGCCTGTATTACTATTATCACCAAAACTTTATAAAATTTCTTCCTCTCGTGAAAATCCTTCTTCAGCTTCAATAGAACAAAAAAAGCCTTCTCAACAACAAAAACAACAATTATTGTTAATATCTACTATCACTACAACTACTAAACATCTTGGTAATAATAAACTTCTCGCCACAACCACAACCACTGCTAACTATTCTTTACCTCCTTCCACTATAACTTCTCGCTCTTCTTCTCCCTTCGCACAATTTGCAATTCTTCCCACCTTTAATTCTACAATTATTAATCCCACTCCTACCATAATTAATAACAATAACGACAACGACAACAACGACAACAACAACGACAACAACGACGACGACAACGACAACGACTACAACAACAACAGCAACAACAGCAATAATAGAATGTTTAAACGCTCAGCGGCAATAATTAAATTAAATAATAATAATCATGAAGATATAAAACCAATCAACATTAATAGTAGTAAAACTAATAATAATGTTACTAATAATACTAATAATAATGTTATTACGAACAATAATAATAATTCTACTACTATAGACAATTATTATAATTTCTTATTAGAACCAAAACCCATAATAATGAAATCAAAGCAGCAATTAGAACAGCAGCAACAACAACGACAAGAACAATATTTACAATTATCATCACCATCTTTACGTACTTCTTTTGGTTGGTCAAAACATAATAGTATAGCACCAACAAAATCTACATCCACAGTATCTATAAACTCAGCAACTACATCAAAATCAACAGCATCAAAATCATCATTAAAGTTAAAAGCATCATCATCATCATCATCATCAACAACAACATCATCAAATTCAACATCAAATTCAACATCATCATCACATGTATCTACATTCACATCAAAATCATCTGCATCATCTGCATCAAATAATGTTAAAAATAATAGAAACGCCATTAATTTAAATCAAGGAAAAAAATCAATTCAAGATATTTTAAATAAATCACATAGAACAGAAAGAGAAGTTAAATTTACATTATCTAAGCTAAGACGTTTAATACTTGATGAAGGAATACCAGAAGAAAATTTGCCAAAATTGTCCCCGTCAATACAAAATCTAATTAGACCAGATTCGCTTAGATCAACTGTATGGAAACGTTTACTAGGTGTTTATCACGTATCAGCTAGTGATTATGTTCGTCTTATCAAGAAAGGAAAATCTTGTGTTTATGAGAAAATTAGAAGTGATACTTTTAGAACTATGGCAACTGATCAAAAGTTTTTGGAGAGGGTCAATGAAGAAATGCTGACACGTTTATTGAATGCCACAGCTTGGAAAATGAAAGGTAAATATATAAAAGATTATTTATTAATATAAAATCATTAATTTATTATATTGATTAAAGATTTTTTAGTGTCTGGTAATCAATCAATAAGTTATGTTCAAGGAATGAATGTGTTAGCAGCACCTTTCTTATATACGATGTCAGAGTTAGATGCATATTGTTCATTTGTAACATTTATTCAAACTTGTTGTCCATTATATGTAACACCTAATTTACAAGGAGTTCACTGCGGAATTAAAGTAAATATTTTATATATTATAATATTATATGCACCTATATATTTATCTATTGTTTTAACTAAAATTTTTAATTTTAGTTGTTAGAAAAATGTTTAAAAATATTAGATGTAAAATTATTCAATTATTTAAAATCAAAGAATCTTACGGCGATAATTTATGCTTTGCCATGTTTGTATACAATCATCATATTAATAATTATCATCATATCATCATAATTATAAACTATAATTAATGTTTAAAATTATTTATTTTATGCTTCTTATAGCTGTTCTTACATTTTGTGCTTGTACTCCGTCGCTTGATGAATTGTTAAAGCTTTGGGATTTTTTATTTGCTTATGGAGTTCATTTAAATATATTATGTATTATTGCACAACTTGTATTAATCAGAGATCAGTTATTAGAAGCGCCGAGGTAAATAATAATCAAAAAACTGAGAAAAATTGTTTTGTATGACTATAATAAGTTTTTATTAACACTTTTTTTTTAGCCCAATGAAATTATTAAGAACAATGCCAAAACTGGATGCAAAATCAATAATAAATTTGACTGTCGAATTTGTACAGAAAATACCTAATGATTTATATGATTTATTGGTTAGACATCCTTTTGACTCTACAGTTGAATCATTGGTTATCGATTAATGACCAAAATTGTCTCTTCAGTAAGAGTCATATAAAAAAATAATATAATTTTTTAAATTTATTATTATTAATTTATTTATTATATAGAAATGAAATTGAATTTTCTAATATTTTATTTACAAAAAGTTCTCTCAAGATATAATACTTTTAATATATTACACGTATCAGAAAAAAAAAAAAAAAAACAAAATAATAATATAGAAAAATATTTGTTGTTTTTTAAATGTATTTTTATTTATTTATTTTTTATATTATTATTGTGTATTAAATTAAAAATTCAAACAAGAAAATAAAAAAAAATCTTATTTATTAATGTTATGTAAATAAATAATTTTTTTAAAAAGAATTCTTTGCAACGAATTAAATAAGCAGGATTTTAAAAAAACAATAAGTGTCCGAAAAATATTATTATTATTATAAATTGAAATAATCGTCTTCTTTCCAAATATTTTTTTCTAAAGATTTTAATGAATTACTCAAATGTCTAGTACGATTTGTTCCAAGAGGATCAAATTCATCTGTTTCGTCATCATCATCATCTTCTACTTTGGCATGATTTATATTTATTGGTATGTTCTTACTAACAGTATTTATATTAGAAATATAACTATTATTATTGCGACCATCACCATTACCATCATCATCATCATCATTGTTGTTGTTGCTGTTGTTGTTGTTAATGTTACTATTATTATTACTATTACTATTACTACTATTACTACTACTACTATTATTATTGTTGTTATTGTTGTTATTATTATTATTATTATTATTATTATTATTATTTATCGATGTTGGTATCGACGTTAGTGACTTGGATGTATTAGTGTAATCATTAATTTTGTTAATATTGTAACCATTAATTTTATTAAATGATTTTGATGATGACGATGATTCGATTCGATCTATAAATCTTTCAAATCTTTTGCCATCACTATTAGGTATTTCTCTTACCAAATCAATGCATCCTATTCTAAAAGGTGAAACATTCGGATCACTTAATTGTCGATTTTTACTTGAAGACCCATTTCTAATACGATTATTTATAAGCTCATCATCTTCAAAGAAATCATATTCTTCATTATCATCATCGTTGTTATTGAAAATATCTTTTGCTCTTGCTTTACCTTTCTTATTCTTTTTAGATAATGTTGATTTTTTTTTTTTTTTTGATTTTAATTGGATCCTGACTTTCATATGAATTCTGAAATATAACTGGAAAATTGTAATCACCAAATCTACCCAACCTTCTACTATAATCATACATTGTTTCAACTTCATCGTCTGGCGTTGGATCTGGAAAATTTAAACTATTTTTATCATCGTCGTCCGCTCTTTCTGAAGATAATGATGAACGTGAGTTATTAGGTCCAGGCAACCAATATTTTCCTGACCCACCACCCGTAAATCTTAATCCGGCCATAATTCTTGCTGTCCGACTAGGGCCTATATATGCCATGCCTTCTGCTGGTTCAAATGTTCTATAATTGAATCTCGAGCCTCTGATTGTTTCTAATGTGTCTTCAAGAACATCTTTGAATCCCATACAATCTTTAAATGCATATCTGATTGGCATACGACCTGATCTATAGTTAGGATCAATATAATCTTTGAATGAAAATGCATACCAATGCGCTATTGATCCCATAACCATTTCAAACGTTATTAAAAAATCTTGAATTGATACAGAAATACCCTCGGCTGAGTCAGTTGTAGCTATATAAAAAAAAAGCAAATAATTAATAAAGAATAAAATGCTTAGGATAAAACAATAATAGTATTAATAAGATATATATATATATACTATCATGAATGATTCCGGCATATACAAGTATTGAAAGTATGAATCCTTGCCAAAATGAAAAGAAAATAACAGCCTTTACACAAAGGAATTTTGGTATTGGTCTAAAATCAATTATTATAATTATAGTTATTAATATTAACAATAACATATATTATGCAAAAAAAAAGTAAATATTTACCTGTAAGGTCTCAAATCATCCTTTGTACAAACATAGAAAATAATCAAACAATAAAAACATAATGAACAACTGACATTATATATCAAAGATATATAAATGTATCCATTCGTTATACCTATATGACCATCTTGATAAGTATTTGCCCATTTTAGAAGCATTGTAAG